TCCTTTCTTTACTGTTTGCACATTCTAAGTTATAATTCCAACAAATCTGGAGATGGATATATAATTCAGTTTGAAAAAGGCTGAGCTAGCTAGCTAGAGATGGATCGAAACATTGGATTTCAACAGTGAATTCTTATCAGCTTTCTACACACAATCACCTTCTGTTCAGTGTCTTCAGATCATTAGGTATTTTCCTGTCTGTGTTTCATATCAGAGCCTACCAGTGATGGGAAGTACATATTACAATGACACCAGGACAGGGAACTGGTGTTGTTAGACTTTAGGAAAAAGGAAGTTAGACATTAACCTACTCTTTTTGTGTAATCTTTTCTCTAAATCTCTCCTTAACAGATTATTCCTTCCTTCCTTTTTCTATTATGCCTCTTTCATACCTTCCCTGAAGTCAGCTCTCAGATTTTTTAAGAGATGACCAAAAAGCACTATGAAATATCCCCAAAGCTGAATCCTGGTAGATGGCATAGGAGAATACCATACTCAGCAGTATTAAAAGCTACAAAGAGATTTATAGAATTTAGCAATATCCTTTTTCCCAATCTGCCCTAGATCATATAACTATATCATGGGTCGGCAACCCGCGGCTCCGGAGCCACATGCGGCTCTTTGGTCCTTTTCCTGCAGCTCTGGAGCCTCCTCTGCCATTTGCAGAGAGAGAGACAGAGACAGAGAGGCACTTGTGCTTCCCTTCTCTCTCTCTCTTTCTCTCATGTGGACTTGCCCCCTTGTGGGGCTCCTGATTGGCCCTGCACCCAGGCGCCCCATCCCTGGGAGAACTGTAGCCAGGAAGTCCCTTTCCTGGGCTGGCCCTGTCCAAGACGCACATGGCCAGGGAGATGCGCAGGGTAGCCCAGGGTAGCCCCGGGATCCCCCCTGGGAGTGGCCTGCTCGTGCCTTCGCTGAGCAGGCCAGCCCTCCCACAAGCTGCGGCCCCAGGAAAGGGATCTGCCCATTTAGGCTCAACTTTGCTCTGTTTCCCAAGCCCTGAAGGGCACAGCTCGTTTTGAACAGGAATGCCCCCCCCGAAGTCCCGCGCTTTCCCTGAAGCCCACCGGGAGATGGGAGGGGAGGTGATGGCAGTTGCTCTCTTAAGGGACCTCTCGCCAGCCTGATGGACCTGCTAGGGCTGGCAATCCCTGCCTGGGAAAGGGAGGTAAGCAACAAGCGCCGGATCCCCTGCGGGGGAAGCTTGCTCCGTCATTCCTTTCCTTTTGGGTGCTGTTTCTGAAAAGAGGGGGGTACCCAACTGGAGCAGGAGGACCCCTCCCCAGCCTATCCCCACATTTGCCGGGGTTCCGTGGCTTCCTGGGCAATCATCGCTACTTTGGCCAGGAGAGACCCGCACTAATCAATCCTCCTGCTCAGTGATCTGTGTTGATGCCAAAGCCGAGTAGGCGAAGGCGGTGGCTTGCCGATAAAACCAACGGACTTGGAAGTGCCATGGCTGACCTTTTGAGTCGCCGTGAACCTCCATTGACTTCCATGGGGATGCTTGGAAATGAAGGGGTCGATTGAAATCACTTCAAGGATCGAGCTGCAGGATAGCTTTGAGTGGGAGAGAGAGACACAGAGAGACACAAATGCATCTCCACAGGAGATGCAGCAAGGGCAGGGGACGAGGAGGAGTCAGCTATGTCTGTGCATAAGCCCTGAAAGCTTTCTTCCTCTCCCTGATCTTACCTTTCTTGCTTGCCCTCTGATAGAGGTGTCTGCTGGGTTTCCTCAACCTCCTCCCCATTTTATTTTAATCCCACCACCGCCTCCCTCTTTTGCAAAGTTGACATTCTGGGACTCGGAGCTCGCTTCGCTCCTGGTGTCACTTGGCAAAGTTTGAAGGAGAGGCCACCTGTTCCCACCTTCTGCAGAGCAGAACTGCTGCTTCCTTGCCCTCCAAGCGAAAGAACCCCAGAGAGCTGGAAGAAGTCCTTTCTCCCACTTTCCGCTTCTCATCCTCTCTTTTCTGAGCACCCCTCTCAGAGCAAGCCGGAAGCCTCAACTCCAGCCTCCTGCAGCAGGCTGAGATAGGCGAGCCCAAGTGGCCGTTTGATGCCACCTTGGAAGATTTGCTGCAGCAGCTCCTTATCCCCACGTGGCCTCCTCCTCCGCTCCCTGGGAACCTTCACGCCAAAAGGCAGAAAGAAGAAAGTCCCAGAGAGGGAGAGTGCGGGGCAGGGGGAGAGCAGTCTTTTCCGAGGGGAGGAGAAGCCAGGACGGCAGAGTGTCCATACCTGAGCTGGATGGGAGGGGGCAGGGCCGGTACATGTCTAGCCTTCAGCTCCACTTTTTAATCAAGCCCCCTGTTTTGGTGTCATGTTCTAGATAAAAAAACTCTGAAATATGTTCCGAAAATCAGGTCAGCTAAATATATCTGAAGTTGTGAAGCTACCACTTTCTTGATCTTCTTACGCAGCAATGGAATATTTGTGACTGACTATAATTAAACAAGATCTCTGGATCAAGGGAACAATCTTATTTTCAATAGTGATCTAATAACTTCCTCCTTTAAGCATGCAGGAACACACCCTGCATTTTAGTAATCATTAATTACTTCTCAAGATTGGACCTGTTCCAGTCTGGCTGATTTAGTCAGCCAAGAAGTACAGGAGTTGAGCCATCAGGTTATAATGTCTTTCAAAACAGATAGAAAAATACTACTTATTGAGCAATCTCAATATGGGCATTTAAATCTTGACTTGAGAAAAAGAGACTGTTGTGCAGTTAGAACACTAATGTTTTCCCTACATTGTCACAGTTATCCAAATGCAGTTACAAATACTATACTCCAAACTGAGAGATGATTAGATAGAAATTCTGGTTAGTGAGATGAAGTTCCTATAGACTTACCTTTGGACATCACTCTACAAGACTCTGTCAACTGCATCATAAAATAGCACAATAAATATAGCTAGGAGAGATTACCCTTTCCTTTACTCTAGTTCACGGGTTGGCATCCCGCGGCTCCGGAGCTGAATGAGGCCCTTTCAGTTGTCTCCTGCGGCTCCCTGTCCTCAGCCACCATGTGCAGTCTGAAAAAAAAAGTGGGACTAAAAAAGTTCAACCAATCAATTCAAACTTCGGACTGCATGTGGTGGCTGGGAGGATTGCTAGAAAGGTATCCATGGTAAGGAGCCGCTGGTGGCCGGTCTCAGGGTGTCTCATCCCTGCCTGGTGGGTCTCCCCTCACCCTGCTTCGCTGCCACCTCTGTTAGTCAGGGGGTCACCTGGGGTCTCTGTAGCTTCCCTTCTCTACCTGCACCTTTTGGCCATCTCACGGGCAGCAGATCCCCATGGGCTCTTTTGAGAGATTCCCCCACGGTGCCTGCCCAGCCCTTTCCCCACCTGCTGCGTGGTCCTCTTGGCCGTCCTCCTGCTGCTGCTACTGCCGGTTGCGCTGAGCACAGCTGAAGAGGCAGCGATGAGTGGGCAGCCGCGCCCCTTCACCATCCTGCCACCGCTGCCGGTCACGCTGAGCGAGGCCGAAGAGGTGGTGGCGAGCAGACAGCCATGCCACTTCACCATCCTCCTGCTGCCGCCGCTGCCTCCCTCAGTGCTGCAGGAGAAGGAGACTTTGGGTTGTGAGGGTGGCGGGGCCAGCAGCTGGTGCCCCATGGCGGCATTCACTGTTGCTGGTGTGGCCGCCCATGGTGCACCCAGCTTTGGCGTCCTCCTCTTGCAATGGCAAAATGGCTGAGGATGCAGCGGGGACCCCGATGATACTGCAGTGGCCACCACCGGAGATGCTGCCTCCCATCCTGCTCCCCCTCCCCACCTGTTTGGCTGAGGATGCGGCGGGGTGGCTGCTGGGCCAGGGTCGGCGGGGAATCCCGACGATGCTGCAGTGGCTGCCACTGTGCTACCACCACCGGAGCTGCTGCCTCCTGTCCTGCTCCCCTCCCCACCCATTCAGCTGAGGATGCGGTGGGGGCGGTGGCCATGCCGGGGGCGGCGGGGACTCCCTATGATGCTGGAGTGGCCGCCGCCATGCCACCACCGCCACCGGAGCCATTGTTTGTGTCCTACTCCCCCTCCCTGCCCATTCGGTGCTGTCTGCCTTTCGTTTTCTCTCTCTCTCCTCATCTGGAGAGAGAGGGAGAGAGAGGGAAAGAGAGAGAGAGAGAAAGAGAGAGAGGAAAGAGAGAAAGAGAAAAAGAGGAAAGAGAGAGAAAGAGAGAGAGAAAAGAGAGAGACAGAGAAAGAGAAAGAGAGAGAAGAGAGAGAGAGGAAAAAGAGAGAAAGTGAGAGGAAAGAGAAAGAAAGAGGAAAGAGAAAGAAAGAGGAAAGAGAGAGAAAGAGAGAGAGGAAAGAGGAAAGAGAAAGAGAGAGAAAGAGAGGAAAGAGAGAAAGAGAGAGGAAAGAAAGAGGAAAGAGAAAGAGAGAGAAGAGAGAGAGGAAAGAGAATGACAAAAGAGAAAGAGAGAGAAAGAGGAAAGAGAGAGGAAAGAAAAAGAAAGTGGGAGAGAAAGAGGGAGAAGAAAGAGGGAGAGAAAGGAAAAAGAGAAAGGGGGGAGAGGAAAGAGAAAGAGGGGGAGAGGAAAGAGAGAAAAAGAGGAAAGGAAAAGAGAGAGGAAAGAGGGAGAAGAAAGAGAGAGAGAAAGAGGAAAGAGAAAGAAAGGGGGGAGAGGAAAGAGAAAAAGGAAAGAAAAAAGAGAGGAGAGAGAGAGAGGGAGGGAGAGGAAAGAGAGAGAGGAAAGAGGGAGGGAGAGAGAGGAAAGAGAAAGGAAAGAGAGAGAGATACCCTTTTGACATCTAAAATGAAAATATCAAAATGGTTTTGCGGCTCCCAGTGTTTTGTTTTCGTTGGGAAACGTGTCCAAGTGACTCTTTGAGTGTTTTGGATTGCCTACCCCTGCCCTAGTTTGTCTCCACAATATTTCAGCCCTTTCACCCAGGATTAAATCTTGGATAATAGATATTTTACAAAACGATGGTATAAATTATTTCTTGATTTGGTGCCAGCATCTTCTGAAATAAACTACTTCCTTTTTTGCATCTTTACAATTTTGTACATCATTTAAAGATGAAATATTAAGCAAGTTTTCAAGCTTCATATCACTAAGTCTCTATTTAAATTTGAATGAAGAACTCTGAAACATGATAGTTAAGCTGTTGTTGGTATTGCAATAATAAGGTTGGTAACCAAATCTTCTACCCAATTAACTCTAGCTTAAACTGGTTTTGAGCCAGTTTAAGTCCATCAAACATAGCTGGAATTAGTAAACCCATTACTACATTAAACCAGTATCCCACCCTATTGTTTTAGTTTCTGACTACTTTATACTGGCTGAAGATGATGGGAACTGTAGTCCAGCGGAGCAAGATTGCTTCTGTTTAGGAAAGCCTGGAATAAATTACTATAATGCCTGTATTAGAATAATATTTGCCAAATAGATGTAATTTCACTCTGTAACCTTTTTCAATTTTCATCCTTCCCTTACTTTCCAAATGCAGATTATTGACAAAGAAATCAATCCATTTGTGCACAAATGGGAAGAAGAGGGAGAATTTCCAGCATACCAAGTTTTCAAAACTCTCGGGAAAGCTGGATTTTTTGGAATAGACAAGCCAACCAGTGAGAAAGGAACATACTTTTAACAGCTGCCTGTAATTTAGAAAGCATGTCTAATATTTGGCTGAAGCATTCAGAAGCTGGCCTTTCTAAATACATCCTAATTATAGCATTTTAACTTGGATGGAGTGGAATACAAGTCATGCAAAAGCAAATACAAATATAAGTTTACTAAAATCTAAAGCAGGCTTTATGTGGAACATGTTTTGACATGGTACTCGAACTTGTTTTCTAATTTAGCTGTCAAACTACAGTATATAAATCTTCATAACCTTCTTTAATAAATAATTCTACTTGCTGTTTTAATTAACTAATTTAAATGCATTTATTTATAACTTTAGTTATCCCTCCACTATTCAATGTTCTATGTTAAAAAAGTATATTTTAAGGTGATTAAGGACTATTTGTTATGAACCTTTGTAAAATATGCAAGAAATAACAGTCCTAAAGATATGTAAACTGAAAAGCCTTACAACATTGTTCTGGCAAAATATTAAATTGACTTTTGCAAGCTACTCATGTCCATTTTCTGACTTTACTGTCTCATTTGCACAACAATATGTACAGCCAAAGAGCATATTGACTCATTATTGGGCTGTTCTGGAAAGACTCCTCTCTAATCAAATAATTTCTGCAAATATTAAAGTGTTTTAAGTTCCAAGCACAGTACTTCTCTTCCACTTAGAGATGGATAGAACTGATTGTACTACAAAAGAATGGTGTGGTTAATAATACACAGGTTTAATTGAACATGTACAACAAAGTTGGTGGTTTTATTGTTGAGCAATACAGTGTGTCATCACCATGAAATTGTATTTTCTACTTAAAATCAGCTAACTGTGGAAATAGATGACCAGCTATCTTACGTATCTGATTTCCTTAATAGAAGTTTTGAATGTGTGGCACACGTACCACCTGTGGTACATTAGCACATGGCAGGTGGTACGCGCCCTGCCCAGCCAAATGTAGTGGGGGAGGGAACGAGCCAGCGCAGTGCAGGACTTACTGTGAAGGAGTCCTCTGAAGCTACAGAGTGGCTGAGGCGAGGCAAAGGCCCCAGGGTTGGCACTTCCGGCTTACCCAGATGAGAAAGGAGAAGGAGGATGCTGGAGACAGGAGACGCTATAAAAGGAGGCAGTTTGGGCAGGAGAGGGAGAGAGAAAAAAGAGGCAGCCTTGGGAGGAGGCGGAGTCAGCTCTAGCTGCACCAAAGGGAAGGAAGGAGGAGGGCGGGGGGAGAGGAGAGGAGATCAAGCAGGCCGACCATGAGTGGATCTACAACTTCTGTGGCAGCCACCTGTGATGGCAGCAACAAACAGGAAAGAGATGCAGCGGGGGAGGGTCACCATCCACAAGGAATGAAGAAAGGCAGCAATGAAGAAAGGTAGTATCGGATGGAGGTGAGGCAGGGAGGGAGGGAGATGGAGAGTGGAAGGAGTCTTATGTGCTTTTGTGACTTTGAAGTTCTGGGATTTGTGCTCTTAAGGAGTGTTTGGCAATTTCTATTTGGCTGATGGCTGATGTCTCGTGTTAGCTTCTATTGCTCTGCTATTGTTAGCTGTAAGTTTTGCTGTAAGGGATTTTGAAGTATTTTTCTCCTGAATGGATTTTGCCTATAGCATTCCTTTACTTGTGAATGAAGCCATTTGGGGAGGTTGACTTAGCTGGCAGTCAGCACTTACTACATTTTTTCCCCTTTCTTAAATGCCAGCTGCCGACTCCTTAACTTTCCTTTCTAGCTAGTAGCTAATTCTTAAAGGGGAATGTGCCTTTTTAAGCTAGTTCCCTTGGTGGCTTGTCTTTTCTGTCTCTGGAGGCTTTTCCTTGTTTGATGAATATATGGAAGAGGGAAAATATGGGGGGGGGGTTCAAATTCTTCCTTCAGAAGGAGATGGGAATGAGAAAGAGGGAGGCAGGGAAGGAGGGAGGGAGGGAAGGAAGGAAGTCCTGTCTTAGCACTTGGCCACCAGCAGCCCTGCCATTGACTTTGCTTGTCAAAAGATTGCAGAAGGGGATCATGTGACCCTGGGACATTGTGACCATCATAAATATGAATCAGTTGCCAAGCATCCAAATATAAATCACATGACCCTGGGCATGCTGCAATGGTCATAAGTGTGGAAAATGGTCATAAGTCATTTCAGTGCAATTGCAACTTTGAACAGGTTTTTTGGGGGTCATCAAGTTTTTGATACCTTGCTAGGTGGTACTCGAATATTGACATATCCTAAAAGTGGTACAATCAGTGAAAAGGTTGAAAAGCCCTGGTCTAATAGCTTTTATGGACAGTTGTGTTGATGATTAAATTTAATTATATTAAATACTCACTTTTTGTCTATTTGTCAAATATTCTGCTATGGATTGCTGCTATCTTAAGTAGGAATTACAGCTTAAATTTAGAAAGGAGCTAATTAGAGATAATTTTGAGATTTGAATGCCATAGCCAGTTAGCCTAAGTTTGGTCACTTAGATGTTATGGAATTCACTGCGAATTGTGAGTACATGGGGCAGTCTTTAAATTTTATTTATTTATATATGTTTATATAAATAACCCGGAGGACCGGCTTCAGTTTTTTTGCAGGTTTGAATCTTTTGCCTCCCCCCCCTTTTAAAATCTCTTCTCATGGACTGTTTACAGTGAAAACAAAGCTTTATTTTAGGCATTTTCATAAATATCCTTTTTTCTTATATCTAATGCTGTATTGATGCAGCATCTTTGAAAAGCAAATAAGGGTTAATTGCATACTTCAAATCTTGCTTTGAATAGTCAAAAGTGAGCATGTTTATGAATGCATGTCATTCAACTATAGAACAAAACGGAACAAAAGCTTAGTAATAATGTATTTTTTGTCTTTTTCTTCTGCCATTTTGGAAGTAAAGTGTTCAAGTTTTATGTAACTTATTTTGAAGCTATTCCAGATCATACAGAATTGTCATTATAGTTTAGCATTTATTTTCAAGTATAATTCTCCTCACATGGTGGAATATTTCAACATTTTATTCTTATATTCAGGTTTTGCAGCACTTAATAGACCTTAACCTTGAAAAAAACTAAGCAGGGTCAAAAAATAATTAGGAACTCTTAGGTCAAGCCCCTGAAAATGAACCATGACTAAGAAAACAAGATTCACATAAAGTTTCATTAATTTTATTCAATATATGTATCTGTTAATATAAGGGATTAAAATATAGAAACTAAATGTAAATAGTTCTCAGTTTACGACTACAATTGAGCTCAAAATTTCAATTGTTAATAAGGCAGTTAAGTGAGTTGCCCCTCATTTTACAACACTTTTGCCATAGTTGTTAAGTGAATCATGTGGTTAAGCAAATCTGGCTTCCCCCGTTGACTGTGCACGTCGGAAGCCAGCTGGGAAGTTTAAAAACGGTGATCGTATGATCTTGGGTTAATGCAACTATCCTAAAATGCATGCCAGTTGCCAAGCACTGGAATTTTGATCACATGACTCTGTGGATGCTGCAATGGTTCAATGTGTGAAAACTGGTTATAAGTCACTTTTTTTCAGAACTATTGCTCCTTTGAAGAAGCTGCTTTAATTTTGAGGCTTTGGTTGTCTACTCTAGCCCCATTCAGTAATGACCAGTTCCCTGATAAATGACATATACTTGAGGTTACTTAATAAGGTAATGATACAGAATTAATCTTGGGATTCATGTTTTTCTCTCCAAATGTAGAATCAGCTGTATGCATCCTTTCAATTTGGGGAAACAGAATACAAATCTCCCTAGTTTGGGATCAACGATAACCTTTTATTAAGACACATTGTAGAGAAGGACATAGAAACTTCCATGACCATCTTTGCATAAGGGCAGGTTTATAAAATGCTTTTCTGCACCATATGAGTACAGTGGGTTGTATGGGTGGGATCAGTTTTCATTAATTACTCATTATTTACCACTTTTGCTTTTATTATTCAGAGACAGACAGATGGTAATAAATGTAGACAACATTTTCTACAGGCAGTCCTCGACTTAATAATAATAATAACAATGAGATGATGATGATAGTAAAGTTGGAAGGGACCTTGGAGGTCATCTAGTCCAACCCCCTGCTCAGGCAGGAAACCCTATACCATTTCGGACAAATAGCTGTCCAGTCTCTTCTTAAAAACTTCCAGTGTTGGAGCATTCACCGCTTCTGGAGGCAGGTTGTTCCACTGGTTAATTGTTCTAACTGTCAGGAAGTTTCTCCTTCGTTCTAGTTCGCTTCTCTCCTTCATTAGATTCCACCCATTGCTTCTTGTTCTGCCTTCAGGCGCTTTGGAAAATAGCTTGACTCCCTCTTCTTTGTGGCAGCCCCTGAGATATTGGAAGACTGCTATCATGTTCCCTCTCATCCTTCTCTTCATTAAACTAGACATACCCAATTCCAACAGCCATTCCTTATATACTTTAGCCTCCAGGCCCCTAATCATCTTTGTTGCTCTTCTTTGTACTCTTTCTAGAGCCTCAACATCTTTTTTACAGCGCGGTGACCAAAACTGGATGCAGTATTCCAAGTGTGGCCTTACCAAGGCATTGAAGAGTGGAATTAATACTTCACGTGATCTTGATTCTATCCCTCTGTTAATGCAGCCTAGCACTGTGTTGGCCTTTTTGGCAGCTGCAGCACACTGCTGGCTCATATTTAAATGATTGTCCACTAAGACTCCGAGGTCCCTCTCACAGTTACTACTATTGAGCAAGGTACCCCTATACTATACCTGTGCTTTTGTTTTTTCTTGCCTAAATGTAGAACCTTGCTTTTTTCACCATTGAATTTCATTTTGTTAGATAGTGCCCAGTGTTCAAGTCTGTCGAGATCCTTCTGTATCTTAAGCCTGTCTTCTGGAATGTTGGCTATTCCTGCCAGCTTGGTGATGTTTGCAAATTTGATGAGTTCCCCATCTATCCCCTCGTCCAAATAGTTGATGAAGATGTTGAAGAGCACTGGGTCCAGAACAGAGCCCTGGGGCACCCCACTACACACTTCCCTCCATGTAGATGCGGTTCCATTGAGGACCA